AATTATTCTGTATGGTTCTGCAAAGGTCCCACTATAGCGTTTCTATAAGGTCCGGACAGTTACAGCACTTTTACTCCTTTCTTTTCAGCCCATCTGCTGTAGATCTGCTGCTGTCAGACAGATGGACTCCTGTTAGACTAGAATTTTTTTTGTCTACAGGGAAGTTCATGGTGGACCCACTGACTGAAAGGAGCCCAAACCATCAGAATAAAATATAACAATTGTAAAACCAACATAAAATCAATTAAAAGAGGAGAGTCAAAGCAAAAATTAAAATCCTGAAAAAAATTAAGAGGCTGGGGCATCGAAACCGGGTAAAATTTGCTAATCCTGAAATGCCTTGACAAAAATATGGGTCTTAAGGTGAGTCTTTTATTTATTTTTTTACCGTGTCCTGTCTGGCTGTGAAGCAAACAGAATTGATGTCTGAATGCTGGTGACAAGCCTTACAGATTTACTCTCAGTTGGAGCATCAAAGCATCTGCTTTTAATGTCACGCCTGATACTTAAAACTTTATTGTTATTGTTTTTGAATGCTTTGTAATTCCGACCAGACACGGAGACAGAGGTGAAAGAGAAATGAAAAGACAAAAGGTGGGGAAAGAGGGGGGAGGGGGTGGGGGGGGGGGCACAAAAATAAACAATAATGAACAAGAGTCTGCTTCTAGACCTGCAGAAGGAGACAAGAAAAAAAGCAACAAAAAAAAAATAAAATAAAAAAGGACACAACAACAATACAACAAGATCAAGCTATCACTGCGTCAACTTGAAGAAGAAATATATAATCAGCATTGTTTAACTGAACAGTGGCTGTAATCTGCCGCTCTCTTCGATATCCCTCACCATTCTGAAAAATATTGGAGCCAGAATCATCCAGAATTCTTTGTAGAACTTTGCTGGAAACCCGTCTGGACCTGGAGCTTTCCTATTAGTCATGGATTTAAGGGCTTCCTGGAGCTCCGCTGATGTTAGTGGCGAGTCCAGGACTGTAACTTAGCTGTCTGATAATTTAGGAAGTGTTATCCTATCAAGGAACTCATTGATCTCGTTATCTGATGGGTTTATCTGTGGTGAGTACAAAGTTTGGTAAAAGTCTCTGAAAGTGTTGTTTATGCTTTCAGGGTCATAAACTATATTCCCGGTTGAGTCTTTAACAGCAGATATGGTAGTTTTCTCTTTATTAATTTTGAACTGGCTAGCCAAAAGTTTACCTGATTTATTACTATGTTCAAAGTTTTCTATTCGTAGTCTTTGTGCTAAAAATTGTCTTTTTGTCAATAATTCCATGAAGTTCTAATTTAGCTTTACGTAATTTGCTCATTAACTCTTCTTCTGTGGATGCCTCTAAAGACTTAATGATTTCCTCTAACTCCTGACTACGTTTGTTTTCCGTTTTTTTCTTATGTGATGAGAAAGAGATTATTTTACCTCTCATCACTGCCTTTCCTGCCTCCCAGAGAACAGATGCTGATGTTCCAGGCAGGTCATTATGTTATAAATATAAAGCCCACTCCTTTTTAAAAAATTCTAAAAAAAACCCTTCATCTTTAAACAGTGATGTATTAAACCTCCAGTTTTTGCTTGGTGGGATTGTCTTCTTGTTTACCAGAGTTAAAGAAACCAGAGCATGGTCGCTGACAACTATGGGGTGTATCTCAGTGTCTGAAATGTCAGCCAACAATGAGCTGCTGACTAGAAAATAATCCAAACGTGAATGAGAGTGATGGACGTGTGAAAAAAAGTATACTCTCTACAGTTAGGATGAAGAGATCGCCATGCATCACAAAGCCCATGATCACTCATGTACTGTTTAACTATGTTAGTGGATTGCCAATTGCGCTGAGCCCCAGCTGTACTGAGCCTGTCTGTTAAGGTTTTCATCCAAAAGTTAAAATCACCTCCAAGAATAAGTGGACAAGTCGAGTCTTAAAAAAACCCAATGAGGGTGACTGACACCACCAAAGGCAACTGGTTCCAAAGTGCAGGTGCCAACACAGAGAATGCACGGTCTCCCCGTGACCTGCACTTATTGCGTGGAACGATCAACAGCTCCCTGTCGGCTGAGCGAAGGGCCCGCGAGGGGGCATGCCTATGCAAAAGGTTGCCAAGATATGCTGGAGCAGTTCCTTGTAAGGCCTTGTATTCCAGTACCAAGACCTTGAATTTTGCCCTGTATTGCACAGGCAGCCAATGAAGGGATGCCAACACAGGGGTGATATGTTGCCTGCGCCTAGTGCCTGTCACGAACCTAGCGGCTGAGTTTTGTGCTAACTGCAAGCATGCTACCGCACCCTGACTAAGGCCTGCATACAGTGCACTGCAGTAGTCAAGCCTTGAAAGAACAAAAGCATGTGTGACAGTCTCTAAATGTACTCTGGACAGCAGGGGCTTCATTCTGGCTAGTCGGTGTAAGTTAAAAACACGATTGCACAACTTGGTTGATTTGCGCGTCGAATTTAAGGGCTAAGTCCAGTTGCACTCCCAAATTTCGGATGGTGGTCTTCATGTTGGATGCTAAAGGCCCAGATTCACAGCATCGCATGGGCTTGTAGACATGCCAGGGCTAAGTACAATTACTTCAGTCTTAGCATCATTCAGATGTAAAAAGTTTGTAGCCATCCAGGAGCGCACATCCTCTAAGGCATCTACAAGCTTTGATATTGACCCATCGACCCCCCCGCTGATGATGCACTACAGGAATTTTCTGACAAGAGGGGGACGTTTACTGTGAGTTGAGAAGAGGTCTGCTGCAGGCTTCTATCTAACACTGTCATGTCAAATGTGCGGCTTGGGGGCCATTTGCGGCCTTCCGAGTCAGTTGGTCCCCCACAGACCCCACTTGCATTTCTATGGTGGAAATTTATCTTAAGCAGGCTGCTGATGTAGATCAACACTGCCCATCCATCCATTTTAGGCTGCTTATCCAGGGTCAGGTTGTGGGGGCAGCGGCTAAGCAGGGAGGCCCAGACTTCCCTCTCCCCAGACACTTGGGCCATCTCCTCCGAGGGATTCCCAAGGTGCTCGCTAACCAGCCGAGAGACATTTCCCTACTACTACTCAGTCTACTTCGAGCCCCTGCCAGATGAACGAGCTTCTCAGCCTATTCCTAAGGGAAAGCTCAGCCACGCTGCGGAGAAAACTCATTTCAGACGCTTAAATGTTAAAAAAATAACATTTTCGTGGCTCTTCGGGACTTAATGTGACGATCTTGTATAAATCGTCCTGAAACACTTAGACATCCCTGACCCAACGCCTTTAGCTTTAATCACAAAGTAAAGGTAAAACATCTAAACAATGTTTGTGATTTGGGAAAAAAAACATTCAGTAACTTTGGTTGGTTCAAAATTGACTTGAACTGCAATATAATTTGAGCTGACTCACTGAAAAGTTTCAGCAGAGGAAATAATTTATTTATAGCTTCATGAGACAACTGAGACTCACGTAAGAATGAATTCTTTTTATTTCTGATCATCTAATTTAAATGTAAAATGTACTTTCATAAGGTTACTTTATCTTGTGTTCACCTAATTTACAGAAAAGCACTAAATGACATTATAAATGAACTTTAACCTTTAACCTGCTAACTGAGCTTTGTAGGGTCTGAGCTTATGGTCCTTTTTTGTCTTTTGGACATTGGACTTGTACAGGAGGATTGGCCCCTTCTTTATTAGTTATGGCCATGTTTTAGTATGCAATGATACATACAACAGGGCTGCACAGTGGCTAGAGCTGTTGCCTTGCAGCAAGAAGGTCCTGGGTTCAAATACCAACCGGGCGTCTTTCTGCATGGAGTTTGCATGTTCTCCCTGTACATGTGAGGGTTCTCTCTGGGTACTCCAGCTTCCTCCCACAGTCCAAAAACATGACTGTCAGGTAGGGCTGCTCGATTATGGCAAAAACAATAATCACGATTATGGTGACTGAAATTGAGATCTCGATTATTTAGGACGATTTTTCAATTTATGTTGATTTTATTTGTTTTTATTCAGTCATAAAATTGCTCAGGGCACAATCAGGACAAAAAGAAATAAGAAACAAGATGATCACTAAAATAACTCCTGATTCCCAGTATAAAAAGACCAATATACTTATAGCTCATAGTTTATGACCCAAGGGCTATAGACCTTGGTTTAACTCATTTAAGTCTAACCAGTACAGACCCAAATACCAATATCTTGCAAATACTGACAGCAAGAATTATACAGTGGCATTCATAACAAATACATGCAAATAAATTGATGTTCACAAAATGTTGCATAACATTTATTGAGTCGTGTCAAGGTGCTGAAGGAGAGTGCACTAGCACCGCGTCCTCAGAGAGATTAGTTATTAGTTATCAGCGTGAGGAAGTTATTTCTATCTTATTTATAAACTATTTATTTACAAGTCCATCAGTTAATGTAATAATTGTCCCAACCACAGCTGCACCCCCCACCCCCCAACCCGGTCTCACAGCAATCAGGGGCAAGCTGCACGTGTGTTTAGCACGCCGCACGCGCACATTTAGCAGTTTTTCGAGGCTCAGGAGTCCGCAGGCGCGGTGTGTGTGTCACAGGAGCGCTTCATTTGTAACTCGGGGCAGCGCAAGTGGGAGGAGCAAATAATCGGCTTGTTTTGTTTTTATAATCGTTCAAAACTCAGATCGTAATCGTGATTAAAATTCGATTAATTGAGCAGCCCTACTGTCAGGTTGATTGGTTTCTCTAAATTGCCATTAGGTGTGAGTGTGTGCAAGGTTGTTTGTCCTGTGTGTTTCTATGTGCCTGTGATAGACTGGCAACCTATCCAGGGTGTATCCCACCTTTTTGCCCACTGGAAATAGACACCAGCCCCTCGCGATGCTGCATGGACAGCTGGGTACAGGCAATGGATGGATGGATAATACATACAACCTGAAAACTAAATATAGGCAGACGTTCTCTTTTTCCCATGACCGAAGCTCAAGATATTTTACATGAAAGGAGTCACTGGAATAACAACCACATGACTCCTTAGTTTACCTGAACTATGCAAGAACTCAGTCCAGCAGAATTCTTCTGTCACCTCCGTCTGGACACCTTTAGAATAAACAAACACCCAGCAGTGAACAAAAACAGTTAGTTCCATCTAAAAAGATCTCACACAGATGAGTGTGTCATGGCATCTGCAGCTTCAGATACAATCAAGATGAAGGCCTTACCTTGGGGCTGCACATATATTTTAGCACTCTGGGAAACCTTCAGGAAATTAGAACATAAACAAAGGCACACACACACACACACAAAAATTAGTTATGGTTGGTAATGTCTGGATTTATACAAATTACCTGTCATAGTTATCTGTGTTGCTCTCATTTTACGACAGAAAATAAAAAACAGACATCTGATTTTCTCTCTGTGCTCCGAGCATATTTAAACAAAACACCAAACTTGTATAAAAAGGGGGGAGAAGCGAAAGCAGCTGATAAGATATATGAATATAGCAATAAAAATCGGGGGGGAGGGGGGGTTGGAGAATAAATTGACTGGATCTTATCGCACAAGATCCATCAACCATGTGTGTTTTGTGTCACAATAAAAAGCACAGCTATGCTTCTCAATGCTTGTCTTGTCTGGTTCCTGTCAGCACTTAAGCAGCAGAGATAAAGCATGCCATGCTTGGGTTTGCAGCCTATATGGCTGGAATCTAATCAGAGAATAAAACACTGTAATGTTGTTTTAATGCCAGGTCTTTGTGGGACAGGGCCCAGTAATGTGTGTGTGTGTGTGTCGTGAAAGCCCTTCTATTGTGTTTATTGATGCTGTCAGACTCCAACTGTCTGTTGATATCCTGTAAAAAGGCCAAAGGAAAAAAGAGAACCAAACAAACCCAACCTTATTTTTTTGGTTCTTTCCTCAACACGGTGGCTACATACAGAAAGATTTAATGTCCTGTTTAAATTCAAATACTGATTAATGATAAGTTCATGCATGAAAAATCAAAAAGGACAACTAACCTTGTCTACTTTTAAGACTAGGCTTAAAACATTTTTATTTGATAGGGTCTATGGTTAAAATCTGATGGTAGCCTAGATCGGGACAAGTGGGGGAGTAGAGGGAGGTGGAGTGTACAGTTGGTAAAGACGGCTCTCCCTTGCCCTGCCTCCAACATGCCTCCATCTAAAAAGGATAGGTTATCCAGAGTTATCTCTGTAGTTATGCTGCTATAGGCTTAGACTGCTGGAGGACACACTGACCACTTTTCACACTCTACTGCTTTCTTCTACAATCTGCTCTTTAGCTGTATTATTTCCTGCTATTTCAGCTGTTAACTTTATTTTTTCTCTAAGTGTTTTTCTCCCCAGAAGAAGCTACAGTGGTGTTCTGCTGAGCAGTGGTGGCCTCGTGGAGGGGGCCATCGACTAGCACACTGCTGCTAACCACTTAAACATTCTCCCTCTTCTGATAACTTTTTGCTTTCATTGACGTTGGATGTGCTACTACTAGTTTATCTGTTTAATTATAGATTCACTAGGATAAATACAATAAAGTTTATCTCTCGATAAATAGAATATTTACTAAGAAATCACAATGTAACCATAGACACATTACTTGGTGTGTGTGTGTGTGTGTGTGTGTGTGTGTGTGTGTGTGTGTGTGTGTGTGTGTGTGTGTGTGTGTGTGTGTGTGTGTGTGTGTGTGTGTGTGTGTGTGTGTGTGTGCTCTGTCTTCTCGATCCCCAGTGAGTCGTGGAGGATGGCTGCTTATACTGAGCCAGGATCCTCTGGAGGTTTCTTCCTGTTAAAAGAGAGTTTTCCTCTCCACTTTCGCTATATGCTTGCTTAGTATGAGGATTGCTGTAAAGTCACAGACACTAGTCAGTGACTTGATGCAATTTGCTGGGTTCCTTATATAGGAAACATTTTTTTCTGATTGGCTTAATGAATTGACCTGAATTGGAATGTTTGAAGTGCCTTGAGACGACTTGTCGTGATTTGGCGCAATATAAATAAAATTGAATTGAATTAAATGTTTAATAGATTTTATAAAACAGGTATAAAAATGACTTATGAGTGGAATTAAAGCCAGTAGACACCACTGCTGAGTCACACTAACAGCTCTAGTTTCAAATCTTTGTAGTAAAGTCAGAACATTTTACCAGAATAAACATCAAATTTCTGTCATACCTATCATGTTGGAGGCCTTTTTAATTAACTTTTATTCTTTTTCCATTAATGCATCATTTAATTCCACCCACTCATTAAAAAATAGTCCACCTATTATAAACCTATTATAAAATATAAAAAAAGGACAAGAATGAGATGTAACAGAAAGCGTCATGGCCTGAACTGTTGGCACTCATCCTCTAACACCATCTGACATCCAAGGTTTCCCTGATTGATCAGAGGAATCCAAACAGCTGATTTACTCTCACCTAAAGGATTATTAGGAACACCTGTTCAACTTCTCCTTAACACAATTATCTAATCAACCAATCGCAATTGCTTCAATGCATTTAGGGGTGTTGTCTTGGTCAAGACAATTTCCTGAACTCCATGTTCAATGAGAACATGGATCCATCATGTCATGCAGGCTGCTGGTGGTGGTGTAATGGTGTGGGGGATGTTTTCTTGGCACACTTTAGGCCCCTTAGTGCCAATTGGGCATTAAATGCCACGGGCTACCTGAGGATTGTTTCTGACCATGTCCATCCCTTCCTGACCTCCATGTACCCATCCTCTGATGGCTACTTCCAGCAGGATAATGAACCATGTCATAAAGCTCCAATCATTTCAAATTGGTTTCTTGAACATGACGATGAGTTCACTGTACTACAATGGTCCCCACAGTCACCAGATCTCAACCCGATAGAGCATCTTTGGGATGTGGTGGAACGGGAGCTTCGCGCCCTGGATGTGCATCCCATAAATCTCCATCAACTGCAAGATGCTATCCTATCAACATGAGCCAACATTTCTAAAGAATGCTTTCAGCACCTTGTTGAATCAACGCCACATAGAATTAAGGCAGTTCTGAAGGCGAAAGAGGGTCACACACCGTATTAGTATGGTGTTCTTAATAATCCTTTAGGTGAGTGATTTAACTGTGCTCAGTCATGCGGATCAATCAGAAGATTTCCTGATTAGAACCCAACTCTAATATTTAAGATGGGACTAAGACAAAATGTATGTGTGCAAAGTAAAGTAAATCATATCCAAACTAACCTATTAGCATTTCTGTACTGTTGTTTCAGAATGTAAAAAAGACACAATCGTACCAAAAAAAGTTCTGCTTCTTCTTTCAGCTTTTCAGTGAATGCAACAGCAAATCTGATGGAAACAAGAAAACACAACATCAATAAAAATGTTATGACATTTTAGCAAATGCATTATTTTATTACTGGCAAATTTTCATATTAGGTTTCAAATTAAAAACTAATTTGATAACAATATTGGGGAGAAAAGCAGACGTGAAACATAATTCAAAATCAATAGAAAATGCTAAATTGATAGTGAAGAATTCTGTAACATAAACCCTGTTAGAGGCTACTTGATCTAACAAAACCAAACTGCAGCGACAGAAACATGGGTGGTTATCTTTTTTCTGTTGTATTAAAAACGTAAATATGTGGAAGAAACCGTCACAGCATTACACGATTATAAGAAAAGGGAAATTAAATGATTTGACACCATGTTCTTGGCAGGTGAAGGAAGCATACAATCAACTCTTGACAGTGTTAATCTTAGCATGCTGAATTTACTGTGCTGTGTTAAATATTCAGAGTCAGTTTAACACTCATTAGAGTTAAATTCAGTCATAAATCAACTCCATTAATTAATAAATTTGAACTCTAATCGGTATTTGTGCCTGTAAGCTAACAGCCACACTGAAGGACACCAGCTAACTTGTGCCTCATACAACTCATGACTGCGGACAGCCAGTGAGAGAAGACACACAGAGTCCTGAAAATGTAGTGTGAACCATGCACCTCTTTGTAATTCTGGTACTTCTTCTTCACTGGACCAGGCAGGCTACAGTACATGCCAAAGAGGCGTATTGCTGCCACAGCAATGGACATTCATCCCCCACACCCCTCAAATCCTGCCGTACACCCCAATCAAGCAAAGTTGTAGCAGCACTTTCACTCCTTGCCAGTCTCTCGAGTCCAGCAAGGTCTTCAGATTGAACACAGGACCCCAGGGAAGAACGCGCATTGCCGTTTCAATCTCCCCACGAACACAAATGCCATCCATGCTACCCTGCCTGTCACCAGGTCCTGAGAACAAATGCAATTAAGAGCCCCATGTCGAGCCCAAAAAACCCTCAAAAGCATCAGCGATGTCCCCCCCCCAGCCGCGTTCCAAAAAAGAAAGGTCTACCACCGGGTCAGGCAAGAGCCAGGGGGAGCTCACCGGCCATCCAAGTGCACCCATCCCTTCTGCCTCCCCCCGCAGGTATTCCACACTAAAAACTGTTGTATTTTGTTAGAAATACATTTAGTAATTATAAGTTTAACCAAAGTTTATTAAATCTGGCCAAAAACTGTTAGATATTATGAAATCCTTTATGAAGAGTACGTTTTTATTTCACTTGCCTAACATTCCTTCGTTATGAGCAGTAAAAGTATATATTAACATGAAAAGCATTTGCCTTAGTTCGTTTGCTTCTCTTTCATTAAACATGTCCATTTGCTCGAGCTCTTGGACCTTTTTCTTTCTCCCAAGTATCGCAAATGTACTCTTCCCTATTTTCTCGGGAACTGAAATGCTTTGGTCCACTTCACAAGAAATGAGCAGATATGTCAGCTTGGTGACTGCACAAACTGTACGTAGCAAGATAGTAAGTACATCATGTGGTACGGAACCCAAAGCAAACAGCCGGCACAAAGGGTGGAAAACATTTGTTCCTATTTCAATGGTTTACATGTATCTATTTTATAATAAAAACATATTTTTAAGGAATGCTTGCCAGCTTTCACTTGCTTTTAGCACCCTCATTGTCCTTTTAATTCACTGTTGTAAAACAAAACTGTTCTTGTGCTTTTAACACGTTAATCTATGCTGAAATTTCTCAGCCTTCATTAGTTTCTACAGAAGTGGTTCATTACTAAATAAAACTGTGTTCATGATGTAAAACATGCAGGGAATGTGCTAGAAGTGGACTCCAGTGCTAGCATAATGGCTAGCATATCGGCTAGCCACTCAAGATGTCCCAGTAATTAATGCAACCAAGATCCTGAGAGGAGGAATCACGTGATCACAGGGAAAGGCTGGAGTATGTAAAAAAAATAAATGTGGATTCAGAGCATTGGGTGATCAAATACAGGCTTGTTACTCTACAAGCTACGGGCAGCTAGCCAACAGGACTGGAGCCAAGATCCACGCAACATGCTGAAGATTTGATGGTGTGTGAGGATACAAGGACCTTGGGTAGAAACAAGAAAGCGTCAATGTCTGAGCATTTGCCTGGTAGGAAGAGAGCTTATGTGGGTCTTATAGTGCGAGTGTATGATAGGTGACGATATGGGAGGTGATCACTACCGCCAGACAATCATATTTAGAAATGCACAAACACATGGTAAATGGCCTGCATTTGTATAGCACCTTCTTAGGGTTCTATGATCCCCCAAAGCGCTTCACAACACAATCAGTCATTCACCCATTCACACGTTGGTTGGGATGAGCTACGATGTAGCTACAGCTGCCCTGGGCCACACTGACAAAGGCGAGGCTGCCGAGTACTGGCGTCACCGGTCCCTCTGAACACCACCAGCAGGCAAGGCGGGTTAAGTGTCTTGCCCAAGGACACAACAGCAGAATTCTCTGGTCGGAGCTGGAATCGAACCTGCAACCTTCCGATTACTGGACAACCCGCTCTACCTCCTGAGCTACTGCTGTCCCAAACAAAACAAATTAAAGTTGTATGTACAAGAGCATTAGCATAATCTGCATCCAGCTTGAATCCTTTTTTGTCTCTGAGCTCTTGTGATTCAGAAAAGTACAGATGTTGACTCTTGTTTGACCCCACTGTGATTGGACGTCTTTTATGTTTTACCTTCATAAGATAAATGTGTTCTTTGTCTCGTCTGAGGCTCCGCCATGATAAACACATTACAAAAAATGCTAACCACTAACCAGGAATGGCTCTTCTGACCTGAGGTGTAAACATGGATTGCTGTAAAGTGTTAATGCTTCACGTGAGATACTGGACTTTGTGAGTCTTCAGGGCAGCGGGGCGGAGACTTCAGAACCACTTGAAGTTGCAAGTGTGGTTTTTGGCCACAAGGGGTGGAGGGGACTAAGTGACTTGTCATTAAACCCGTAATGGGTCATTTTAGCATAAACTGGCTCAAAAAATAATTTAAAAATACAAAAAACTTATTTAGTTTCCCTTTAAAAATATGTCAATAGTATCTAAATATAAGAATTTACAAAAACGATTTAGGACTACTTGAAGGTCTTGATTTTCCGTAAAAGCACCTTTTAATCCTTTTAAAAACCCAGCAGACACCCTGCTTATTGTCCATATGGCATTTAAGCTTTGAATCTAATATTTCTACAGTATTTATAGTTGGACGCCATTTAGCTATGTTTCACTAGGTTGGATCTCAGCTCCCGGCAGAGAATGCTGCTGTTGTGTCCTTGGGCAAGACACCTAACCTGCCTGCTGGTGGTGGTCGGAGGGACCGGTGGCGCCTGTGTTTGGCAGCCTCGCTTCTGTCAGTGTGCCCCCAGGAAGCTGTGGCTACAATGTAGCTCATCACCACCAGCATGAGAATGGGGGCATGCATGGGTGAATGACTGATTGTTTTGAGAAGTGCCTTGGGGGGTTGTAGAACCCTAGAAGGCACTATACATTTTGTGATCTATAGTTTGGCATTAGTCTAGGTTTTATGATAGAACTCTTCTTGGTCTTTTACACAAACAACAACAACAATCTATAATTTCCCCCAGATCTATGTTTAGCTAGACTAGAATAGAAACAATGATAACTCACGAAAGCAAAATTATTAGCAAAAATAACCAAGGTGTTCTTGAGTCTCGTATAGATTTGGTAATCTACGTACCTTGGGAAAAAGTCCTGGTTCGCTGAGAGGTAAAAATTAAAAGTGCCGGTATTGCGTACTGTTCCATACCAACCCACTTAAAGCATTGCCTATGAATATGTAACTCACAAGCCTTAGTTGTGTTTTCTTTGAGCCATAACAGCTTTGTACTGTAACTTCCAACATGGCAACCGCTACTCCAGCTGTAACATGTCATGAGAAGGAAAGCAGAGAATGCAGTTCGGGGCACAAGAAGGACTTCAGGAGAAACATGAGAACACAATAAGAAAAATGAAGGGAATGTGGGGCAAAAACCAGTGAGGAATATTAATTTACTCGTGTAGCAGGCAGTGCATTATTAAATGAGCCAACAGGCTCCATGAGGTGACCGAATTTCATGATCAAAGGTTGCGAGAGAAGGCGTGAGCAGTGGGAGACGCATGGATTAGGATGTTTGAAGATGAAGGAGCTGAATCTCCCATTTCTTTAAAGAGGTAAATATGCCCTTAGACCTGCAGAAACTCTAGATAAAATCACTAGTGTGGGGTTTTCATTAGGATAAAGAGAGAGAGAGATTGTTTCCAAGTGGAAGTGTATCATTTTGAGAAGTATTCATCATTAAACTTTGGTAAAAGAAACTCGACCTCCACAGCTGAGTAGGATTACATTTACTCAGCCTCATTCTTTTATCCCATTCACCCAGAGACAAGAAGCAGCTGAGAAACATGAGCCTGTTTATAAAACTATTCATCCTGATTCTTGGAAGCTAAAAAAGCAACAGAAGAAATTACACTAGATTCATGGCAAAAGCTGATAAAACTGGATTAGGTCTGTTAGTATGTCTAGAACAAGGTGGTGGTGGTGGGGTGGGGTTAAATCAGGTTTCAACTGTATGCGGATGACTGTCAAATCTATTTACCTGTATCATGCAATAACTCAAGTTCTTTTAAACTGCTCTTGGACTGCTTGGAGGAGGTCAAGTTATGGATGGCTCAAAATGTATTGTTCTTCAACCAGAATAAAACTGAGACTATCCTGTTCTGCCCGAAATACAAACATGGATGTGTCCAAGAGATTGACTCTCCTTCATTAGCGCCTTGTGAGAAGGCTGTGGTCACCAACCTGGGGGTGAAGTTGGATGTAGAGCTCACACTGGACACCCAGCTCAATGGAACAATCAGATCCTGCTACTTCCATCTCAGGAGAATAGCTAGGATTAAGCCGTTTCTTTTGCGCAAACATCTGGAAACTGTCATCCACGCCTTCATTACCACCAGACTGGACTACTGTAACTCGCTTAATGCAGGCATCAAGCAGACCTCCATAGCGAACTGCAGAAGGTCCAAAATGCGGCAGCCAGGTTACTGACTGGTACCAGGAGATCTGAACATATCACGCCCGTCTTGGCATCCCTACACTGGCTTCCAGTCTCTTTTAAAATTTCGTTTAAAGTTCTGGTGTTTGTTTTTAAATGTTTAAATGAGTTGGCTCCACGTTATCTGGCAGACCTGATTCAGCCTTATGTTCCCGCAAGGAACCTTCGGTCAGCTCAACAAGGACTGTTAGTCGTTCCGAAACACAGACTACAATCCCGAGGGGGTCGTGCTTTCTTGGTGCTGGGGCCGAGGCTCTGGAATGAGCTACCTGCATGGGTTAAACAGGCCAACACGCTCGGCAAGTTTAAGAGCCAGCTGAAAACTCACTTTTATTCTTTAGCTTTTATCCAGGAAGAGTCCCGTTAACTGTTGGCTTGGCACTTTTTGCTGCCCCACATAGATTTTATCTGCATGTTTTTGCTGGTTTTAAATGTTTTTATTTTTTATTTTTTTTATGCTTATTTCTGCTGTGCCACGCTTTGTTTGGTCCTTCGGCCATGTGAAGGCGCTATATAAATAAAGTTTTAGTTAGTTAAATCACTTGATTAAACAATATTAATTAGTCTTGATTTCATGTGAACAGCCTGAATTAAAAAGTGCAGGTGGTCAAGGTTACTTCTTGTTTGTTTGCCCTTGAAGATCTCAACAGCTGCATCAAATTTCTAAAAAAAGGAAGTTTGGAGAACATGTCACAATTATTTTATACACATGCAGAGTTTGTTTTTATATGATAGTATAGGAAAATTCTGTACTGTTGCATTTAAAATTACAACAGAACGTTTTAACGGGGATCAGTTCAGCTTTATCATGACTTTATCACAGTAAAGATAAATATGAGTAAAGAAACGTTCTTTAAAAATAGCACAATTCTACTATACATGTAGTACTTCTCTGAAGTTTTCAGTAGTTTGTTTTCAGTTAGCAGAAACATCACCTGGCTCTCAGCAGCACCTGCTTCATGACCACACGCTTCTGTTCATCTTTCACATCTTCATTTATGTCCGTTCCACCAAAAATAAGCCCAAAGGGTATTTGGACGTCTGTTGTGAAGACAAAACACAAATGTTAGTGGCACTAGAGATGGTGAATGTATTTGCAGGTCTAATGTTTACCCTCATAAAAACATAACACTAAGAGCAACGTAAGTAAATAGATGATGGAACAACAAGGATGTTTACCCAGGAGAAGTCTGCCTGCTTTGAACAGATGAATGGCCAGCACACCGTCAAACGGAGGATCCTGAGATACCAGATTTGCCACATCAGCAGGAGATTGAAATTCTCCCGCATCCCTGAGCTCACAAGTGTGTCCTGCTGATTCGATGTGAGACCTAAAACACAAATAGATATGGATGGCTCATAGCAGTAAAAGGAAACCCAATGCTTCAATATAATCTGTAGACCTTCAACAGGGTTATTTAAATATTTATTTTTGCCTTTTTTAAAATTTGCTACCAGTTTTTTGTGTTCAGAGATGGGAACACCAAGACCCCTGCCTTGTTCTGCAACCAAAATCAACAACTCTTAATAGTGGGCTTGCAGGTGGTGGATCCACTGAAGTTAAAATGGGCTAACTTTTAAAGTTTGAATGGGCTTTTGTTTGACAGTTTAATTCTTACCATCCAATCATCCCTCCACTGTCCCCCGCTTATCTGGGGTTGGGTCGCGGGACAGCAGCCTAAGCAAAGAGGCCCAGACCTTCCTCCCTCCAGCCACCTGGGCCAGCTACTCCTGGAGATCCCCAAGGTGATCCCTGGCCAGCTGAGAAACATAGTCCCTCCATCGTGTCCTGAGTCTTCCTTTAGGTCTCCTCCTGGTTGGACATGTCTGGAAAACCTCACCAACCAACCTGATGCCTGAGCCACCTCAACTGGCTCCTGTCTATGTGGAGGAGCGGTGTATCTACTTCAAGCCTCTCCCGGATGACTGAGCTTCTCACCCCATCTCGAAGGAAAAGCTCAGACACCCTTTGGAGAAAACTCATTTTGACTGCTTGTATCAGCAATCTTGTTTTTTAGGCCACTACCTAAAGCTTGTGACCATAGATGAGGGTTGGAACGTAGATCAACTGGTAAACCGAGAGCGTCGCCTTCCGGTTCAGCTCTCTCTTCAGCACAATAGACTGCATAACTGCAGACACAGCACCAATCGATCTCCCGCTCTATTTTGCCCTCATTCATGAAAAAGACCCAGAGATACTTATTTTAACCCATAAGTTAATTAAAATGGTTAGTGACTGTATGATCTCTTGTATAATAACTTTTATGCATCTCTTTTGAATGATCAATCTGATGAAAATAAGCAAAGTATGTTTTTATGAAAACATGTATAAACCAAGAACAAGCTTTAACTCAACTTGTGGCTTTTGCATGAATTAAAATAAACTTTTTTACCTAATCCTACATTAATAGAACATACCAAGCTAAGCTAGAAAAAGGTCATTTGCAACAGGTAGTTGGTGTGCTTTTTAAACTAATGCATAAAATCTGTAAATGCCACTACGGGCAGCGAACAGTTTTGCAGCAACTCAAAAATGTATTGGCCAAAAAATTCTGAGGTTTCACTGAAGGATGCGACACTTCCTTGATGCTTAAGATCACGTTTAAGCCGAGGTACTGACAGTTGTTACGTGCATTTCACAGATATTCATAATGGTGTAGGTGGTTTAGTGCAGCACCACCAAACAGCTTCACTTATACATAACATCGGTTAGGAATTACCTGGAAGTTACTAGCTAATTAATGCGCCGTAATGGGTTGTTTCCATTCGTTCTAGAGTAAATTACCTTATTCTGTCAGCTGTTGTATGGTTCCCGGTTTGGGGGCTGAGAGGGGCGAGGAAGAGTAATTTCATTTCTCCACAACAAAATGCTCTTTGTGCAGCTAACACTGGTGACGACCAGCCAGGAAAAAGCGACACACTCTCCGCGCTTCAGCCGGCTCTCTGAACTCAGCTCCTCTCACATTTCCTGGATTCATGCCCGTAGCTTCCACGTAAGGTAAAAGCTGACGACAGCTACCTCATATTACCAGAGAACCACGCTTGAAATGTTTACAAGTCCGTCTCCAATCCTACTCCCTGGAAACACATGTACCGGTGGAGATCAGATTTATATGATTTTTATTCCGTTTTATTTGAGACGTCGCATACAGGACATCCTGATTGCACATCTATTTCTGGAACACTTTTTGACAGTACACTCATTCGTAACTAATTATGTTAAAGTAAAAAAAAAATAGAAACAATATCTAAAACTAACCACTTCCTTATTCTGATGGTTCAACGCATGCGTAAACGGGAACAGATATCTAAATCATATGGATGGGCTCTTACGCTCCTTCTACAAGTCTGTAGGGAACAGTGTAGTTACGTATCGTCTACGCAGCGACGCAAATGTGGCTGTTTGCAGTGGGCCGGCTGAGTGTCACGCGATAGAGGTGTGACTGTTTTTGTGGACTTCCAGTTCTCTTTTGAGAAAGTATGAAGCTAGAAAAGAGAAACTAGTGCGGTTAGCATTAACGGGGCTAATTGAGATAACGGAAAACAAGTGTTTCATCAATTGAAGGTAATGTAAAACCCAACATTTACAGCTATATTCGTGTCACTGCTGAGCTAGCTTAATAATGTTTGTACTAAGTGTATGTTTTATATTTATTTAGAAAGTCAGGTCTCTAACAATTCACACGTTGTTTTCTAAATCGGTGTTAGTTGTATTCAGTGTCTACACCAGATGACAGCTTTAAATCATCTGTTTTTAATGTATATTTTCCTTCAGGTCTTACACAAACCAGGACCAGACCAAAGTTGACTGTTAATCATGGCTAACAACGGGGATGCCGATGAGAGCACCCCTCTATTGGACTCCGATGACACGCCTTTACCCCCATCAGTCTTCCAGGGAAGGAGACTTGCTTGTGCTGCCATCCTTTTTGCTGAATCCCTAGAGAGGATTGCTTTCTACGGCATCACATCCAACCTAGTACTGTTTCTCAATAGTAATCCTTTTTATTGGCAGGGTACTCAGGCAAGTCAGGCTCCTCTGATGTTCATGGGGATAACTTACCTGATTTCACCATTCGGAGGCTGGTTAGCAGATGCATACCTGGGGAAATTTTGGACTATTGCCTCAAGTTTAATCTTGTATTTTATTGGCATGCTATTTTTCCCTTTGATTTCACGTGATGACAGCAGGATACGGCTATGTGGAGAAGAGACAGCATTTCCACTGCAACCTGTTGAATGCACAAACGGCACCCGTACACCAGATGTTAACTGTCCTATTCGAGCCCCATATTGTGGCCCAGTGGTCTACATTGGACTGTTTTTAATTGCACTAGGTGTGGGGACGGTGAAGTCAAACATCACTGCATTTGGAGCAGATCAGGTAACGTAAAAAAACCTTTTCAGACTTTATTGTCATTGTAGAAGTAGAGAGTAAGTTCCTTGTAACCTAAGGGATCTGTTTATCATGTGATTCATCTGCTAGATCAAGTGTGCAGTGTGCAATTATGGTAGTCAGATGTGATTGATATCCTCTGTTTACCATGACATTTTGCTGAGACACACATGCTCTTAATCTCCATGACGTGAAAGTATAGTTATGTGAAATGAAAGTATGAAAATATGTTTCATGCAAAAGGAAAGTTTGTTGATGATGCTGAAGGTGCAAACCTTTGGTCATCTTTGCCTACTAATAAATGTGGTATAGTTTGCTTGGGAGCAGCAAAGCACACTTAGTATAAGGGATGTAGGAAAATATCAATACACTGAAATAATCTCAGTAATTCATCATAAGATGCTGATTCAACATTTGAAAGCAGTTTACAGAATATATTATTGAGAATTTACACGACCATATCTATATCTTTAGGTGTGGTGTAATTCAAACTCTCACTGCTAGGTGGCAGCAATTTTTACAGCTTTTACGTTTTACATTCTGACAGAACAATATCGCCAACACTTTTTGTAGCAATATATCGTATAGTTGTCCCTGTTTTGTGGAAGATACAAAAAGAAAAGGAAAGAAAGAAAGAAAAACGATCTTTTATTTAGCGCCTCTCAAGATAAATATCACAAGGCTCTTTACAAAAACAACACATTTAAAATATAAAAAAGATTTAAAAAAACGATTAAAAATATGTTTAAAATTACAAAAAAAAAATTCATTTGTGTTTAAAAAAATGTAAGGAAAGGGAATGAGAAAATGAATAAAAAAGAGGGAAATCGGTGGACCCTGGGAAAGGTGGAATAGTTAGAAAGAGCATAAAAAGGAGAGGGTGGTGGCAAAGCCAGCCTGAACAGGTGAGTTTTCAGCTGCTTTTGAACTGTATCACCTGATTCTTGCCAATGCACTTCCTAGCTATTGTAATATTTTACATATAATATTTCTCTCTCCCTGGGCTATCACCTTACCGTGGTGGAGGGGTTTGAGTGTCTCAGTGATCCTAGGAGCTAAGTTGTCTGAGGCTTTTTGCCTCTGGTAGGGTCACCCATGGCAAACAGGTCCTAGGTGAGGGATCAGACAAAGAGCAGCCCAAAGACCTCATTTGATGAATTATATAAATGGAAACCGTGTTCCCTCGCCCGGACATGGGTCACCGGGCCCCCCCCTCTGGAGCCAGGCCTGGAGGTGGGGCACGTTGGCGAGCACCTGGTGGCCGGGCTTTCACCTATGGAGCCCTGCCGGGCACAGCCCGAAGAGGAAACGTGGGTCCCCCTTCCCATGGGCTCACCACTCGTGGGAGGTGCCAAAGGGGTCGGGTGGTAGTCGAGGGCAGGGACCTTGGCGGTCTGATCCTCGGCTACAGAAGCTGGCTCTTGGCACATGGAATGTCACCTCTCTGGTGGGGAAGGAGCCTGAGTTGGTGTGTGAGGTTGAGAAGTTCTGACTAGATATAGTTGGACTCACCTCAACGCATGGCTCTGGCTCTGGAACCAATTTCTTTGAAAGGGGTTGGACTTTCTACCACTCTGGAGTTGCTCCCACTGAGAGGCGCAGAGCAGGGGTGGGCATACTAGTGGCCCCCATCTTGGTGCCTGTACTTTGGGGTTTACCCCAGTGAATGAGAGGGTAGCCTCCCTCCGCCTACGTGTGGGGGGATGGGTTCTGACTGTGGTCTGTGCTTATGCACCGAACTACAGTTCAGACTACCCACCCTTTTTGGAGACCTTGGAGGGGGTGCTGTAAAGCGCTCCTTCCGATGGCTCCCTCGTTCTGCTAGGGGGACTTTAATGCTCACATGGGCAACAACAGTGAGACCTGGAGAAGTGTGGTTGGGAGGAACGGCCCCCCTGATCTGAATTCGAGTGGTGTTTTGTTATTGGACTTCTGGGCCAATCTTGGATTGTCCATAATGAACACCATGTTCAGACATAAAGGTGTCCATATGTGCTGTTGGCAGCAGGATACCTTAGGCCACAGCTCAATGATCGACTTTGCTGTTGTTTCATCTGACCTGCGGCCGCATGTCTTGGACACGTGGGTGAAGAGAGGGGCGGAGCTGTCAACTGACCACTACCTGATGGTGAGTTGGCTCAGATGGTGGGGGAGGATGCCGGTCAGACCAGGCAGGCCCAAACGTATCATGAGGGTTTGCTGGGAACGTCCTCAATTCCACCGACACATCTTCCAGTGAGGAAGCAAAGTCTGGGGACTTTGGGTTGGCCTTTCAAATCTCTGGTGCCGAGGTCACCGAGGTGGTTAAAAAGCTCCTCTGTGGCAAGGCTCCAGGGATGGATGAGATCCGCCCGGAGTTCCTTAAGGCTTTGGATGTTGTGGGGCTGTGTTGGCTGACGCAGCTCTGCAATATTGCGTGGACATAGGGGGCAGTCCCACTGGACTGGCAGACCGGGGGGGTGGTCCCCTTATTTAAAAAGGGGGACCACAGGGTGTGTTCCAACTACAGGGGGATCACACTCCTGAGCCATCCTGGTAAGGTCTATTCAGGGGTTCTGGAGAGGAGGGTCCATCGGATTGTTGAACCTCAGATTCAGGAGAAGAAATCCGGTTTTCATCCTGGCCGTGGAACACTGGACCAGCTCTATACACAGGGGGATCCTGGAGGGTGCGTGGGAATTTGCCCAACCAGTCTACATGTGTTTTGTGGATTTGGAGAAGGCGTTTGACCGTGTCCCTCGGGGGACCCTGTGGGGGGTACTCTGGGAGTATGGGGTACCAGGCCCTCTGATATGGGCTGTTCGGTCCCTGTATGACCGGTGCCAGAGCTTGGTCCGCATTGCCGGCAGTAAGTTGGGCTCGTTCCCAGTGAGAGTTGGACTCTGCCAAGGCTGCCCTTTGTCACTGATTCTGTTCATAACCTTTATGGACATTATTTCTAGGCACAGTCAAGGTGTGGAGGGCATCTGTTTTGGTGGCCTGAGGATCAGGTCTCTGCTTTTTGCAGATGATGTGTTCCTGTTGGCTTCATCAGAACGTGATCTTCAGCTTTCGCTGGAGCGGTTCGCAGCCAAGTGTGAAGCAGTTGGTATGAGAATCAGCTCCTCTAAATCTGAAACCATGGTCTTGATTCGGAAAATGGTAGAATGCCTTCTGCGGGTCAGGGATGAGGTCCTGCCCCAAGTGGAGGAGTTTAAGTATCTGTGGTCTTGTTCACGAGTGAGGGAAATCTGGAGCGTGAGATCGATAGGCGGATTGGTGCTGCATCCGCAGTGATGCAGGTGTTGTACCGGTCTGTCGTGGTGAAGAGACAGCTGAGTCAGAAGGCGAAGCTCTCGATTTACCGGACGATCTATGTTCTTACCCTCACCTATGGTCATGAGCTTTGGGTAGTGACCGAAAGAACGAGATCGCGGATACAAGCGGCCAAAAGGAGTTTTCTCCGCATGGTGGCTGGGCTCTCCCTTAGAGATAGGGTGAGAAGCTCGGTCATTCGGGAGGGGCTCGGAGTAAACCCGCTGCTCCTCCATATCGAGAGGAGCTAGTTGAGGTGGCTCGGGCATCTGGTCAGGGTGCCTCCTGGACGTCTCCCTGGTGAGGTTTTCCGGGCACGTCCAACCGGGAGGAGACCTAAAGGTAGACCTAGGACACGGTGGAGGGACGATGTGTCTCACGTGGCCAGGGAACGCCTTGGGATTCTCCCGGAGGAGCTGGCCCAAGTGGCTGGGGAGAGGGAAGTCTGGGCCTCTCGCCTTAGGCTACTGACCCCGCGACCCGACTCCAGATAAGCAGATGAAAATGGATGGATGGATGGATAGTAAATATTAAAATTGTTGTAACTTTAGATGCATTTCCATTATATGAAATTATTTAATGTTGGAGCACAGTTGAATGTTTTCATCTAAACCACTTCTTGTAATGGGGACAAATCCTAGAACCCCGCAAGGTGCTTTACAACACAATCAGTCATTCACCCAGTCTCACACATTCATGCCCTGGTGATGATGAGCTACATTGTAGCCACAAGCTGCCCTGGGATGCACTGAGAGAGGCGAGGCTGCCAAGCACAGGCGCCACCGGTCCCTCTGACCACTACCAGCAGGCAAAGTGGGATAAGTGTTTTGCCCAAGGACACAACAGTAGCGTTCTCTGCTGATCCTACATCCCTTCGATCAATGGATAACCTGCTCTGCCTCCCGATCTACTGCTGCCCTTAAGTTAAAAAAAAACTCATCTTGTTTCTGACCAAATAAAATTCTTATCTGTGTGTTCAAGACTTGGAGTCATCAAAACAGGCTCACAAAAACCATCTGATAGCTTGATGAGTTTTTGTTTGGGTAAATAAATTGGAAATACACGAATAATACATAGTCTCATTGTAATATATAGACAGTTAAGCTTGCCCAAACGTGATGAAACATTTTCAGAATTAAACATTTGAAAATTAACATGCAATGCCTAAATCTTTCAATGAAATCCTCCGGATCCTGCAGCTAGACGTGGATGAAAAGTTCTAGAATAAAACTGAAGTGTTCCCAGTAAATGTGTCTAGATTGGAGTTCTAGAAAGGATGACACTCCAATTGTTGCAATTCAGACATGAGCATGTAGGCTGTCGGGGATGAAGGTAGTGTAGCTGTGGTATATTTAGACACTTAGCTCAGAATGAAACCGTATTGCAGACATCTAACTTAAAATATAACTTATTACAGTCCAGAATCAGTTAGGTCTATTTAATTATTTGTTTAATGGAAAGATGATGAAAAAGTGTTTTGTCTCATTTTGGTTGAACAAAGGCCAAATACCAGGCCAGGCTTCTATCAAACTTTAGCTTTGACATCACAACTTTGTTGGTAGATTTTTCTCAGTCTGTTTGAGCGTGTACATACAAATGTACTTTGTTTAATCCTACACTGATAAAACTTACATCTACAAGGACAAATGCATGTGGGTCGGATTAATGAGCATAATTATCTTCTACTGAAAAGATATTTCACAGATTTTATTGCATTTCTTCAAAGATATATAAACCATCACTGCAGATTAGGTAAGCATGAATATTAAGCATGAAGGGCTTTAGTTATTTAAAAAAATCTAATCTATGAAAAAATACTTTCTATTCTGGCACATTTTACATAATTTCTTTGCTTCTGCCGAGCCGGTTCGGCTACATATACAGATTCCATACACAGATAAACTGAAGACCGTTTTGCTTCTTGAGTTGAATGACTCAGAATCCATGTCACTTTTAGCTTAATATCTTTAATATTGTTGATTTTATATGATGAAATCTTTTCTTATAGCTTTTGGAATTATTTATAGCTCATACATGCTGCAAGTTGACATGAAAACACATTTTATTTCTCTGACCTTTGAAATCCTTCAGGAGAATGAGATGAACATTAGTAGTAATTCAGGTCCCCAAAAAAGAACCTTCTTCTTATGCTGTATTTGAATTGAATGATGTGTTGGACCCAGTTAGAACATGAACTCACCCACCATCACATTCATCTATCACTCCAGTAAGCTCTATGTTCTGAGCCCATCTGTGAAGTAGGTAAACTGAGTTGTAGCTGCTTTAGGGAACAGAAGTGATTCACTCAAAGCTTTGCCTCTATCCTGATGACAGTCACTGAGCTTTTGATGCAGGCTGAACATGAAAATAGTCACATACACCTATCTCCTGCATTAGCTTCTTATAGAAATTAGATGGTGAAACTCTAGGATTAGAACATCCTGACAGATCTATGTCACACTGCACTTGACATTCATAGACTCACCCATCATGACTGGTGACGGGGAAGGCTGTTGTTGGTTTATCGGTCGGGAAACAGCAGAGAACGCCTCACCTAGTAGAATCTAACTTTCAGTTTTAGCTAATTCGCCACATGGCAGCAGCTCCTCCAGGCTTGTGTTATTTGTGGAGATTAAACATCCACATTGCAAGTCAGTGGTAGAGTCATGTTGCCGTTATCCAATCCAAGGAGGGATGTCCAAATAAGACAGAAAAAAGACTCTAAAACTCGCCATCTTAAGCTCAGGTGGGATGCGGCCTGGAGCTAGTTCCTCAAAATTGTGCACTAATGTTTTTGGCCCCCAAGTACGACTTGGAAAGCATTAATTCCTTCTAGAGACCCTGACAAATGTGTTGATTAAACAAGTGTTCTACACCTTTAATGCATTTATGAAAAAAAAAATGTTTTTCCATTTTCCTTGTAGGTCAAAGACAAAGGACCGGAGGCTACTCGCAGGTTCTTCAACTGGTTCTACTGGTGCATCAACCTAGGAGCCATTCTGTCTTTGGGCGGTGTAGCTTATATCCAACAAAACATCAGTTTTGAGATCGGTTACATCATTCCTGCCGTGTGCCTCGGTGTGTCCTTCCTGGTTTTTCTTCTTGGTCGTACAGTTTTCATCACAAAGCCTGCGGATGGCAGTGCCTTCTCAGCTATGGCTAAGATCTTCGCCTTTGCCTGCTGCTCACAGAAACCAAAGGAGACTAGCTTACTGGGGTGAGGGCAGTCGTGACTGTTTCAGCCATTTCTGTGTCAATCGTTTTGGGTATAACAGAGTACACGTCCCTCACATTACCTCTGGTCTATAATAGATTATTTTGTAGAGCCTCTCAGTTTCATGGAATTTAAAAGGAAATAATAGCATAAAAATGATGGATATCTGAGTGAAAAATGACAGTAATAAATAAGTCTTTAGGTTAGGTTTCCACATTTGTAGCTGTCTGGAGTGTTTTTCCTGTAGTTTGTTTCTAATGTGAGTTGCGAGGCAGCTTAAGCATTTTTATATATTCCTTTATCTTAAATCTTCCTTTGATCCCCTTCTATACTACTTTTCTTCTGGTCCATTCATTCATCATTTCCTGTGGCGAGATGTTATTCTGAAAGGCTAAAACTTTACTTTGAACCAAAATACCACAAGCAGCTCAAACACTTGACATTGAATGGTTTAAGTTGGACAATCTCACATCCTTTTAAGAGATGAGGATTAGAAGATTTAGTGTAAAGTTTCTTTCGTATTTCTAGAAGTGCTGTTATTAAAGGGTAAGATTTTTTCAGGAAAAAAAACCAAAATCTCCTACTTTAAGAGTTAGTCTAATTGTGTTATACTTTGTTTTTATTATTGTTATTAAAATTTTATACTTAAGCTTTAGTCTGGGAGTATTTCAAATGTGTTTTTTCTTTTCTTCTATGAAGCAACAAACCAGCTTTGCTTGACAGTGCCAAAACAATTTATGGAGGGAAGTTTCAAGAGGAAAAAGTGGAGGAAGTCAAAGCACTGATAAAAATCCTTCCAGTTTTCTTTGCCCTTATTCCTTACTGGACAGTGTATTTCCAGGTACGTATAACTCCTGTTTCACAGATATAAAAATAAACCATGGGAATGTCTTTTTGTCAGTTTAAGTTTCCTGGTTGCAGATATGAAGACAAGTGAATACATTATGAGTCTAGACTATAGAGAAGTGTAATTGCACCAGAGATCCTTTCAATCCTGAATTGGGTTAAAATCGGTTTATTGTGTTGCAGATGCAGACAACGTATGTCCTGCAGAGCCTCCATCTGAAGATTCCCGACACGCCCTCAAACATCAGCGACGACTCCCATCGGGTAAAATAAATAAGACACTCCTAGTCCATGTTTTTTTCTTTGGTTTCATAGAAATGTTGTGATTTATTACCTTGTGCTGTATAATTATACAGAATAAAACAAACCCACTGGGGCTTCCCTATTAACAGTTCTGAACTAGACTCCTATGTGCTGAACATTAAGGAGTCGATTGTTCTCTGACACACAATGGCGGGCAACAGCTGGAGGCTGCAGCAAAGACTTGTAATGCCTCTGGGATTAAGTCAGAACTTCACAGACTAATACTTTACAGATTAGCACCCTGGCTGTGTTTGCGTTTCTCTGCTGCAGCGCCGCCACCTGATGGATCCCGCTGATTGCTGCTGATGTAACTCAATCACACAGATTGTATGTAGCAGGCCTTTGATGGCTTCCTCAGCAGCTCCACACGAAACATGACTCCTCAAAAATCAGAGTGTTCAAAGCAATGAAGCTGAGTGCACTAGTAAAGCTAGTATGTACACAGTATTATTTCTCTTATTCTTTAATGGATGTGTTTGATGTGACTTCACGGAAATGTGAAGTGAAACATTCGCCTGAAAACCACACAGTCGAAAACAAAGTTCTAAAAAGGCCAGATAGTTTTCATCAAAATGACTAAATAACCTTAAGCGCAGAAGATCTGAGATACTTTAGCTGATTCATTGTGACCGTTTTCGTAAAGGATGCTTAAGAGCTGTTTGAGCTCGCCTCTTTTTTGTTTATTTGATATCAAAAGAAGAGCTAAGTCTCGTCTTCCATCAGCCTCGACAATTTTCAACATCAAAAGGGAAGTGAGATTAGCTGCCTCTGTGAATTTCTCCCTCACCTCACCTGACACATTTCAGTGGCTAACTTCAACAAACGATACTTTTTAAAGTGAGCAGAACTCATGCTGATGGTACTGCTCGAACACGAGTGGCAGAAGTGAATGTGTTTTCATCATGAAATAAAAAATAGTCATTTTTATAGAAGATACAGAGTTTATCTGAAAACTGATCGTTGCAGTTATCTTGTAGTACTGATCTGTGTAATAAGTTAGCGACAGTTTAAGCATCAAAACAGAAGTAAAGCTGTTTTTTTAGTATTTTATTTACATCATTAGAAGAAAACTAAATGTACCGTTTTAGTTTTTAAATGTAGCTCATTCTGTAAAAATAAGACCCCTAAAGCAGCTGAGATGCCACCATCATCCATCCATCATCCCTGGCAAAGGCGCAGACTCACTCAGAACTTGATGTACGATAATGTGGAAGCGAGAGGATGGTGCTCTCTTTAGGAGCTGTGGAAAAACGGAAATTCACTGTGAGAATAAATGATTTTATCTGTTAAACCGGAGGCACATCAGGCGCTTGAATGTCACTTGGAATTTCAATACCTAAAAAAATATAAAAAAAATAAAAACCACACCTGCCTTAATTTGCAATTTTATTCTTGGCCCAGTGAGGTATCGGTAAAACATGAAGATAATTCTTAACTTTAAATGGATTTCCAATGTGGTGGCATTTATTCCTAATCTAATTATTCATTTCAGATATTAAACCTTAAATTAGATTTAGGGTTTTATCTGTGAAACTTGTTTTGAATGAACAGTTTAGCACATGCTGCCTGACTGTAATGGACATGAATACTGAAAACAGGAATGTTATTGACACCACAGCTGCTGCCACTATGAATATTAATCCTCCTGTTTATTCCCTCTGTGGATTGAATTATTGTGTTTTATTAGATTGTGTTTAGATTCGACCACCTGGGGGTGCCAAAGCAGTATCTAGACTGAAGTGTGCTCTTGTCAGTACTCATGCAAACATGTGGAAGACAAACGCTGTTAACTTTGTTGGGATGCATGCTCACTCTCCCTTTGTTTTAATGCTCTGTTGCTTGTTGTAGACTTCAGTTTCATCTCTTTTCCTCCTGTTTTCCCAGATGGCGTTTCACTTCCCGGCTGCATGGCTCACCATGTTTGATGCAGTGCTCATCCTTATGCTGATTCCTCTTAAGGACAAAGTGGTGGACCCCATCCTGAAGCGCCGCGGCCTGCTGCCCTCCTCTCTGAAGAGGATTGCAGTGGGGATGTTCTTTGTTATGTGGTCGGCCGTCGCCGCGGGTGAGTGAGTGCACTAACAGGCTTGCTGACATTTAGGTAGAATTCCACAAAAACAAGGAAAACATTCTGTACTAAATACAAGTTTAGGTATTTTGAGAAATCACGCACATCATTTTTTAGTTAGATTTTTATGCTGTGTGATGAAACCTGTCAGGGAGCCAACTTTTGATCTGCTCTGAGTGTATCTGACAGGCATGAGGCTAAGCCTTTGTCTAACTAATGATTTAATTTCATGTGTAGCTTTGTGTGGGTCTGGGTAGATTGTCTGTGCCTGAATCACAACAGGCAGCCCAGAGGTTAGTCTCCTTTTCATACAAACTCCACTAGGCCTCAGCGGGTGCTGCAGCACTGATACACCTAAGCTAAAATGTTCTGAGAAAGATAAAAGCCTGAAAGCAGACAAAAGCAAATCAGTATCACCCCAGAGAATCAATGTTCATTATATTTTCTACTACCAAGCCTTATCTTCTTCCAGGTGCACATTACATCCTCCACATGGCATAGAAACGTATTCTGTCAGTAGTGACCTTTAGATATTGACTGGCGGGCATTCTCCAATTGCCAGTAGACTGTTAAACATGCACTTAATCTAATTTGACAGCAGTTGTTAAGGGTAACTTTCAACAGTTTGTTTTTTAAAAACAATACAATAAAATTAATTAGGAGCTAACACACCAGCCAATTCATACCTTACTTTTTTCTATTATTTGGCTATAATCAACTCATTCCCTAACAGCAGTTTTGTGTATTTGTGTTGCATTAATAGCCCACAGTTCAGCAGACCAATGACTAAAGCAGAAAACAGCAATTAAATGTGTTTTTGTATCAGTCCAAACACAAGACTTGTTTTTTCATTCACATATAGGAAGATATTTAACATAAGTCATGATGAATTATTATATTTAGAGTGTGGCTTAAATCTTACTCTCAGCTGATTTATGCAGTATATGTGCAAGAACAATTAAACTGGTGTATGAACAGAATTTATGCTCTATGGATTAAAGATAATTATATTAGTTCCCGTTTGTGTTCAAAAAATAAAAAGCAAGTCTAATTTTTGTGCTTTACTTCATATTGATGAGAGGTGACCAGCCGAGTGTTCGGTCTGCCTTGGTCCATGTAAAAACATCCTTTTCAGTCAATGTGATAAAAGCTCCTTTAAGAAATGTAACATTCAATCATCATTTTCTTTTCACCAGAACGTGCAGTTTTCTACATGTGGCCGTGCTCTAACATGTTCATTTCAGTGTTTAAAAGCTACCCAGGCATTTATTTTCCCATTTGGCTTCTTGGGGGGTAAAAAGTGCTATCCTCGCATTTGAATTCAGAGAAAATAAGTTCTGAATGTTGCAGAAAGCAATTTTGAGTTCAGGGAGTGGAAAGAAAAGGTTTAAGATGGTGCTGTAGTCCGGGCATTGGTCACAGAATAGTAGGTGAACACGCAGATGGAGTGCTGACAGTTTTGACTTGGATTTCAGGAGGCAAATCAAACACAAGGAGCAAGGCTATATGTCATAAAGCTTATTAAAATGTTTAATCCTCTGTTGGTTTAGCAGTTTGTTGTTCCCCCAAAATGAAGTTTTGCTTCACATTCTTTTTTAGATCTGCCTTATGCTGTTTTTACATATAGAACTGCACCCTCTTTCAGTCCAGTGTGCGTTTTCAGTTCTTATCTTGACTCCTTTTACAAGCTGAAATCGTATTATGTGACAGATGATTAGTGGTGAATATCCCAGAGTGACATCCTTTGCTCTCAAAGGAAAACTGCAATGTCTAATTTGAAAAAAAAAATGAGCTTAAAACACTCTTTTCATGCCTCTTGACAACATTCTAACATAAAATAGCTATAAATATACTGTGGAGATAAAAATAAAAATCCTGAAAAAAAAAAAGAAGTGATTCTCTCACATTTGTCAATTAACCTCTGCCAATAACACGTTTTGGACCCAAAGCAACTATTGGACCGTGCGGTTGTCTGTCTCGCCGAACCGCTGCACTTCCATGGGTCCTTCACTCATTACACACTCGTGTATTTAGCAGCAGAACACCAATGGTGAGGTTCTCCGCTCAATAATATCAGAAAAGGAGAAACAGCCAGCTGCTACCACTTCAACTTCAAGACAAACTACCAGAGTCCCAAAAAGAAAAACACCATTTGAAGTCATAGACAACAAAAGATGCTTGGACCTTGAAAATGGTGACTGGTGTTTAGCGCTATCGCTTTCGTCCGACAGCACAGGTTTCTGTTTCCAGCAGAATCATCCTAGGGAACATACCTGAGGGGAGGGGGGAGTGTTCCATGACCTACCATGCAGCAGATTTACCCATATGGTGTCCGGTGCCTCAGTATGTGCTGATAGGAATCAGTGAAATCTTAAGCCATGTTCAAAACCTAGCTTGTTCTGTAGATTTGTTAGCTCTCGTTCACTCATTATTTCAATAAATCTGCTGGGGCCTCTAGTATGAATGAATGTTTTGTGATTTGTTTTCTCTGTAAAAAAAAAAGAAACATTGCATGACTGTTTCAGGAGGTAGAAATTAGTTGAAGGAGTGGGGAGCGAAAAAACGACAGGATCACGAGTCTTATTCATCAATATTTATGGTATGCAAACATTCTGTGTCTGGTTGGCTAACGGCAGTGAGACTCTTCTGCTGCCTTCACTCATTTGTCTTTTCTTGGGTAAAAAAATGCAACGCTGTTCTCTAATCTCCCCTGTCTGTATGTGCTCCGCTATGTTGTTGAGTTGCTAATGTTAGCTGAAGTGTGCTCTTCTCTGTCCTAGCTGCTAAATCAACACATCCTTCAGCAGTTACAAGCCATGGTGGGAGGGGCCGTGGATGCTACTTCTCCTCTTGACATATAAGGGTCTGACCTTTTCTGAGCCAGTCGTTACTATTTCCTTTCTGCGGTTAATCCAGGCAGTGAAGATTGAAGAGAAAACTCACGTTCAGCATGCATGTGAGACTTTGAGTGAATGATCGTATTCCAAAAGGAACAAGTATTACATGGTTTCTTAGAGAACAAGACCTTAAACTTTGTTAACTTTATTCCTGCCATTCTGTGTTCATGGCTCTGAACCACACTGGTTCTGAATCACTTTTGGCATCTTTGAGATGTAGGTAATTATTTGTCTGGGTATCAGCAGAGTGAGCTTTTTCTGCTCATTTACATACACAGTGTTTAGAGCATGGTTTCACACTGAAGGCAAGTCTGGAAATCTGTTATGACATTGGTTTTGAAAGCATTTATTTTGTATACTAATTAAGATCTACCTCATGACATTTAGATGCTTAAAAGCAACTTCTTGAGCAGAGCAGCTAAGTATCACACTGAGTCTGTTGTGATGTTTAATTGAAGCAAAAATGAAAAAATAAAAAGCACGGAGGGATGTGTGTTTATAGTGTAAGACTCGCTCTTAGCAGCCTGGTTGCCACGGTGCATGAGATGGACAGAGGGTATTATTGGATGTACGGATTACAAGGCTTACAACTCCTCTCCAATACAGCATTTAATGTAGTTATGATTGGAGGCTGGGACTTATCGGGAAATAGCCGCTGGTCACATGATGATAGCAGTGGAGTAAAGCTTAAAGGAGGCATGAGCTGATGACAACTGCTTGGTTGAGCTGTCTGGACTGTCCCTTTTCTTTCTGCTTGAATACCAAAGTCTGCAGATGCCATCTTAGTAAAGTGTTTCTTAGACTAGCCAAAATCCCACTGAATGTGTAATACAATGAGTTTCTGTAATATTTTTCAGTCGTATGTGCATCTATTCTTTTCTTCTGTGATAATATTCATTCCTCTCTGGTTTCTTTGTCTACTTCATCAGGTATTTTGGAGACGAAACGCTTGGAGTTGATCAAAACCAATGGTACCATCAACCAGGTGCTTGGCAACGTTATCTACCATGCAGCAGATTTACCCATATGGTGGCAGGTGCCTCAGTATGTGCTGATAGGAATCAGTGAAATCTTTGCCAGCATTGCAGGTACGGTTGTTTGACACCCTTCGTTGAATTTATGTGTTAACAGCTTCTCATTTCATTCTGGCAAGGTAAACATTATGACTTAACATGAAATGCAGTTTGATTTAGTGATGGAGTTAATGCTTTGAGTTTGCCTGATTTGCTCTCAGGCTGAACCACTCTAGATAGATTGTTGACTAAAACCCACAGAGTCCAATCTTTTAAACAAAACACAGCGAAGACAAATGTCCAAATGCTTTTTGAGCACTTTGATTCATCATCAGACAACGCCAGCCTAATGTGTTTGTGGGTTGTTATCCAGGGTAAATAGCCTAAGACATCAATTGATAATTGATTGTACTGATTTTCTCCCTCTACTACAAGACATTGTTTAGTAATGAGACAATTTACACATAGGGTATAGATAAAATAACCTTATCACAACTCAGATAGACTAAGGTTTGCGTTCAATTGCGACCTCACAGTGTTTCATGCTGATAAAATGTGTAAATATCTACAGTGGGGCAAAAAAAGTATTTAGTCAGCCACCGATTGTGCAAGTTCTCCCACTTAAAATGATGACAGAGGTCAGTAATTTTCATCATAGGTACACTTCAACTGTGAGAGACAGAATGTGAAAGAAACTCCATGAATTCACATGGCAGGATTTTTAAAGAATTTATTTGTAAATCAGGGTGGAAAATAAGTATTTGGTCAATAACAAAAATTCAACTCAATACTTTGTAACATAACCTTTGTTGGCAATAACAGAGGTCAAACGATTACTATAGGTCTTTACCAGGTTTGCACACACAGTAGCTGGTATTTTGGCCCATTCCTCCATGCAGATCTTCTCGAGAGCAGTGATGTTTTGGGGCTGTCGCCGAGCAACACGGACTTTCAACTCCCTCCACAGATTTTATAATAATAATAATAATACATTTTATTTAAAAGCGCCTTTCAGAACACCCAAGGTCACTTGACAGAAAACACTTAATAAAATACAATAAAACAATAATAAAACCCAAACAAGAAAAAAAAACAAAGAGAAACAGTTCAATAAAATCAGAGGTTGTAGGCAGATTTAAACATATGTGTTTTGAGTTTTGTTTTGAAAATGGTAAAACTGTCGATGTTCCTGATGTCTGGGGGAAGTGAGTTCCAGAGACGAGGAGCAGAGTGGCTGAAAGCTCTGCTCCCCATGGTAGCGAGACGGGCAGAAGGAACCGCAAGATGGATGGAAGAAGATGATCTGAGAGAACGGGATGGGGTGTGAATACTTATAAGGTCTGAGATATATGGAGGAGAGAGGTTGTGGATTGCTTTGAAGGTATGGAGGAGAATTTTGAAGATGGACCTGAATTTAACTGGGAGCCAGTGAAGCTGTTAGAGAACCGGGGTGATGTGGTGAAAGGAAGGGGTTCTGGTGATAATATGGGCTGCTGAATTCTGGACCAGTTGCAGTTTATGAAGGAGTTTGTTGGGGAGACCATAAAGAAGTGAATTGCAATAGTCGAGACGGGAGGTGACGAGGCTGTGGACGAGAATGGCGGCAGTGTGAGGGGTCAGGGAGGGGCGGAGACGGTTTATGGAACGTAGATGGAAGTATGCTGACCGAATTATGTTATTAATGTGAGCTTGAAAAGAAAGTGAGCTGTCGAGGATGACACCCAGACTCTTGACGTGAGGGGAGGGGGAGACTATGACGCTGTCAATAGTTAAAGAAAAGCTGTCAGATATTGAGATGGTGGATTTAGTGGCAACTAGAAGAAGTTCAGTTTTATTGCCGTTGAGTTTGAGGAAATTAGAGGTGAACTATGATTTGATTTCAGAGAGGCAGTGTGTAAGGGAGGATGGTGGGAGAGTTGAGTTGGGCTTACTGGAAATGTAGAGCTGGGTGTCATCTGCAAAGCAGTGAAACTGGATATTGAATTTGCGGAAGATTTTGCCAATAGGGAGGAGATATACTATGAAGAGGAGGGACCCCAGGACAGAGCCCTGGGGCACACCTGACTTGACTGGGGATGGTTCTGAGGAAAAGGATTTTAACTGGATGAACTGAGTGCGGCCAGTAAGGTAAGATTGAAACCAGCGGAGGGGGGTGTGAGTGATGCCTATGGAAGAGAGTCTATTGAGGAGGATGGGATGAGAAACGGTGTCAAAGGCCGCACTCAGATCGAGGAGAACGATAATAGAGATTAAACCAGAATCAGCAGCAATGAGTAGGTCGTTAGTGATCTTGAAGAGAGCTGTTTCTGTGCTGTGGTGGGGACGGAAGCCAGACTGAAACTGTTCATAAAGGTTATTGCGGGTGAGATGGGAATGGAGCTGAGATTCAACAGTTTTCTCTAGGACTTTGGAAATGAAGGGTAGATGGGAAATGGGACGGAGGTTATTGAAATCATTGGGATCTGAACCAGGTTTTTTTAGAATAGGGCTGACTGAAGCGGATTTGAATAGGGAGGGGACCGTACCAGAGGATAGTGAGGAATGAATAATGGCTGTTATAAAAGAGAGCAGAGAGGAAAGGCAGGATTTAACTAAAACTGTTGGAATAGGGTCTAGTTGACAGGTGGAAGGTTTGGATTTGGTGATGTAATCTAATAGTTCTGAGGGATGGGGAAGTTCAAAGGAGGAGAACTGAATGGAGGGTTCAAATAAATCAGGAGAGGGAGGGGAGGAATGAGGTAAAGATAGATGGATTCTATTGACCTTATCATTAAAAAACTGAAGGAGAGAGTTACAGGTTTCTGAAGAGTAAAGATGGATGGGTAAGGAGTCGGGAGGCTGAAAAATGCTGTTCATGATGGAAAATGATGTCTTAGTGTTGCTGGAGTTGGACGAGATGAGACCGGAGTAATACTGTGATTTGGCATGGGAGATGGAGTCCTTGTAGAGAGAAATCTGAGCAGAATATAAGTCTTTATGGATGGTGAGACCAGTTTTCTTGTAGAGTATTTCAAGCCTCCGGTTAGTAGCTTTCAAGGAGCGTAGGGCAGGGGTGAACCATGGAGCAGACCGAGTAAAATATACAGAGTGGGATTTGATGGGAGCAAATGAATTAACGATAGAAACCAGACCATTATTGTACTGAATGACAAGATCATTGGGAGTAGAGGACAAATTTGGGGTCAGGGTGGCAAAACTGGAGGACAGGGAGGCTAGATCAATGTCCTTAATATTACGAAATGAAATGATACGGGGTGACTTGATGATGGAGAGACGGAGGGGAACAGAAAAGGAGATGAGGAAGTGGTCCGTGAAAGGGAGCGGGTCAGCTGTACAGTTGGAGGGGGTCAGGCTGGAGCAGCAGATCAAATCCAGGGTGTGACCTTTAATGTGAGTGGGAAAATTGGCATATTGATGAAAACTGATGCTGTCCAAAGATGAGGAGAAGTCTTTGCTGAGGGGGAGGGCCGTATTGTCCATATGAATATTAAAATCTCCTAGTAAAATTACATTTGGGGAAAGGGCGGACAGATGGGATAAAAAAGCATAGAGTTCATTTAAAAACTCAAGGCTGAACTTGGGGGGACGATAAACAGTGACAATTATTGTGGGGGTCGGGCCGGAGAGTTGACAGGCGAGGCATTCCAGAGTGGTGAGAAGAGGAAGGCTTACGGGAAGGGCCTTCCAAGTCTCGCGATAGAGTACCACCACCACAGCCTGACCCACGTGGTTTGGAGAGGTAAACAAATCCGGGAGGAGTACAGTCATTGAGTTGTGAGAAATCGCCAGGTTGTTGCCAAGTTTTGTTCAGACAAAGAAAGTCTAGCTTATGGTCACTGATGGTATCTTGGAGGAGATGTCCTTTACCAGAGAGGGAGCGAATGTTGAGAAGACCAAAATTTGCAGTGCGGAAGTCCCTGGCGACAGGAGCATTAGCCCGACTAGCCAGCCGGGCTAACACGCTGGAGTCGACTGCTCGGCAGGTATTCCTGGGTAGCCGCCGGCAAATCATAGACCAGAAGGAGGGTATTCCTTTGGAGCCGTCGAGATGGAGGTTCCGCCGGGACCCCCGATGGATATACCGACGGCGAGGCTGGAAGGTGATGCCAGGGAAGAGGCACAGAGCTGGTGGTGGAGATCCGGAGTAGTGAAAGCGGAGGTTGAAGAGCTCCGCCGCCGAGTACTGGAGAAGGCCATCCACGGACAGAAGAATGAGCGACAGGATGATCCAGGCCAGTGAGAGGCACAGAGAAATCCTGCTGGACCACATTATGGAGTGAAGCAGGGAGGTGGTGACGTGGAACCAGAACGCAAGCTGAGCAGGTAGGTGAAAATGAGTTCTCACCGACACAGGGATATGACTCGGGTGAAAAAGAAGTAAAAACACAAAAAGTTTGCCGGCGAGCAGCGGCAGCCAGACGCGCCAGTGTTCACTCAACCAGAAGTGATGGGAGGAGGTTTTGGCTCAGAATCTCACGATTTGGCTCAGAATCTCACAATACATGGCCGCATTCATTCTGTCCTTAACACGGATCAGTCGTCCTGTCTCCTTAGCAGAAAAACAGCCCCAAAGCATGATGTTCCCACCCCCATGCTTCACAGTAGGTATGGTGTTCTTGGGATGCAACTCAGTATTCTTCTTCCTCCAAACACGACGAGTTGAGTTTATACCAAAAAGTTCTACTTTGGTTTCATCTGACCACATGACATTCTCCCAATCCTCTGCTGTATCATCCATGTGCTCTCTGGCAAACTTCAGACGGGCCTGGACATGCACCGGCTTCAGCAGCGGAACACGTCTGGCACTGCAGGATTTGATTCCCTGCCGTTGTAGTGTGTTACTGATGGTGACCTTTGTTATTGTGGTCCCAGCTCTCTGCAGGTCATTCACCAGGTCCCCCCGTGTGGTTCTGGGATTCTTGCTCACCGTTCTCATGATCATTTTGACCCCACGGGATGAGATCTTGCGTGGAGCCCCAGATCGAGAGAGATTATCGGTGGTCTTGTATGTCTTCCATTTTCTGATAATTGCTCCCACAGTTGATTTTTTCACATCAAGCTTCTTGCCTATTGTA